TTATTTTTATCAAATAGCAGGCTTTATGATAGTTATCATTCGCCCTTTAATTGATTTCAGGCTTCGCCGAGGGAGAGGAAGATCAAATCGAAAAAGACGAAAGGGGGGTGAACAGAAGAGTGCTTTAAAAATATAAGAGACAGGCACACAGGTAGATGAAAGGTGAGGTAAATACTGTGAAAGTAGTCGAATATGACATACAGTGGGGTGATGGTAGTTTGAAGTCAGAAGTCAACTACCGGTTAATAGACTTTTTTGCCGTATGAGTATACGTTGCCCAGGGTGCACCACGTGGAGGTAAGTCTATTGCACACCCCTTTTGTGCCACATAGATTTGCGCATACATTAATTAACCCACAATCCTTTAGGCTGTTGTACCATCAATCAAAATAACTCACATACTCAAAAACTTTGCAAATTTCTCGGTTATCTAGTTAAGCGATTCCATACGCCGCTTTGTCTAATTTATTAATTATTATGGATATTTAATTTACGTATTACTATGTTGCGTTATACAGCCTTATATTTACTGTCCCTCAAAAATTTAAAAATCATGAATTTATTATCTAGTAGATGCGTACCCAAAAGAAGCCTTTTTTAATTTTCTAACACAGACTTCGATTTGGTCTTTGAGGCCTAACATTTCTGGAAATTTTTATCGTATTTTGCATCGCGTATTTACTTTGAATCATTATTTTCTAAAAAGTGTATTTCTATTTTTGTAAAATACCCATGTTCCTTTGAGAAAACTAGCCCCAAATTAGCCATATTCGTCTATTTTACTGTCTTCATTTATTTAATTTTTCGATTTATTGTGTTAAATCTTTTATCTTCGTCAATCCAAAAGCTTGGCTATCTCTTGTGTTTGTGTTGCCTGAAGGTGGTGAATTGTCAATGATTTCTTTTCGATTCACCCTCCTTAGGTACTTAACCTCTCCACTGGTCGTGTAGTAAATAATGGTAGAGACAGACTTCACACACCTCCACAAATGCGGATTAAACTCCCACCATGCCGTAATCGAACTGATCTCTCCCACTACCTGGGTCGAGGCTGTATCACTGCGTTGGCCATGAACCCACAAACTTGCCAACTCTGGGTGGGTAGTGATTTGGGCGTTATTCAAGCCTACTCTTGCAACGAAGCCACCGGCTCCCTAGTACGTCTTAGTCAACTTACTGTATTCACTCCGGTTCCGCAGAAATTTCTCCCAAGTGTTACAAGCCTAAGTTTCTGTGCTTGGCTTAGTCATGAGGATAGCTCCTCATATCTCCTTGTTAATTCTGCCGGAGTGGGCTTACTTCTATACCTTGTGGATCCTGTGAATGGAGCCCTAGAATTACAGCACAAGTTTGACCTACCGCATTCGCCGTTGTGTAACCCTCCTGCTAATAATTACGGTAGATTAATATTTAGTTTGTATGCACCTTTATTTCTTTATTAATTTCTGTTTTGAATAAACTATTCGTGTCTAGTTTTATTAATGAAAAATAGAATTACTAATTCTATTCAAGGTTTATTTATATCAAATGGCAGGCTTTATGATAGCTATCATTAGCCCTTTAGTTGGCTTCGGGCTTCACAGAGGGGAGGAACATCAAAGTGGGAAATTCGAGAGAGGGAATAGAAGAATGATTCATGAATGTAACAGAAACAGACGCAAAGGTAGAGAAAAGTTAAGATGAGTACTGCGGAAGGGGTCGAATATGACATACATTCGGGCCATGGTAGTTTGAAGTCAGAAGTCAACTGCCGGTCAATAGACTTTTTTGCCGTATGAGCATATGTTGCCCAGAGTGCACCACGTGGAGGTAAGTCTATCGCACACCTATTTCTATAAAAAGTAAAATAACTTAGGGTTAGAAGGAAAGTGGATCAATTTTAATTTGATAGCAAATCATATTTCACCGTTTCATCTCCTAATGTCCCAAAATTAATCTTTCCGATTTTTCCGCATTGTCTGATTACTTTAGCAATTTCAATTACTTGGATGGTTAATCATACTATTCCGATAGATTTTATCTTCCAATTGCCAAGATATTAGTAAAATGGCTCAAATAACATGATTTTATCACAGCAGTGTTCATTGGCAATCACTAATCATATTACTACTCTTTGTATAGGTCTTCATCTCCTGCACTCCTGTTTCGCTCCATTGATTTCTTTCCGCTCCTCAGGAACGGCTTGTGCAATTTCAGCAAGCGAGGATAAGGCGAGTGTCTACGTCTTCGAAGTACCCACCACTGCTTCTGAGAAACGCCAGGAGGTTGCCAGTAGGGTGAGGAGAAGTCAAAGTCATATTGGTGGCTCTGTAGTGACCCGTCTCCAAGGTCACGATTGTGAGGTGGGGAGGACGGTGGTTGACGTTTCCCTCTCCTGGGACGAATCAGTTTTGGCCTCAGCTGATGAAGCTGGTGTGGTTATTCTGTGGAAAAGAAAAACTGAGGAAAAGACCTCGTGAAGCTGTGATATCTCATATTTCTTCGTTCATTCAATTCTTTTTTTTTCTTTTCATTTGTAGTCAATTTGTTTGTTGTACTGACAATCGGAGATGCCCAACAAAACATTATATCTATGCACTACAACGAATAAGTGTTCATCGATTAGCATCATATAGGCAGGGCATGGTAGAATATAAGGGCCTTGTTATATTTTTGTAGTAAGTGTGGACCTATGAACTTTAAATGTCGAGAAAGTTACAAGGAAATTGTAGTTGAGTTTATCTCGGGTCTAATTTAGCAACAGTCAACTGTACGTCTACATGTTGGAAAGTGTCACCCTAGTGAGTGGCAAGGTTGTAGGCTCGCCAATTTAGTTTGTCCGAGAGAAAACAACTAAAGTTACTTTCTTACTTACTCGACTAATTTCCTTTTTCCTTCCTATTTTCATGGATTCTTTGTAATTTCTTCCAACACCGAATAAAAATCTCGATGAAAGGGTAAAATGGTTTACATAAACTCTGCTCACAACTTATATAGCGAGAAAAGAAGATATTGAGAGATCAATCACCACGAATGCACTGTTTTGCTAAATTGCTAAAAGACAACTTATAAACAGAGTAAAATATGCAGAACCATAAGAGAGAAAGAAAGGTAGAAAGTTGAACCAATTGCAATTGTGCATATCATCCCGAGACCATTGGCAGTCCTGTTATTCCACGTGCTTCTGCGCATGTCAAATGTTGCCTCATTCTCCGAACTTGGTATCTGTCATCTGACGAACTTCTATTGATCATATTAAAGTCAATACCATTTGTTATAAGGCGATTACTGTGATATTGAACTTTCTACTGTTCTCCAAATGTACTTTATTCTTTCCCAGTTCAGCTCACCTTCGTTTATTTTAAATAGCTATTGTCTAATAGGTTGGCTTTTAGATTCGGCATAGGCACACTCTTCTGTAATTCTGCTAATGGCCGCTAAAAAGCTCGAGGTAGAATACGAAAAGTTGGAAATCGCGCGGTACATACCCAGCGCACTACTAGAAAAGATGCTGATAAGCAAGAATTCGTCTAAAAATTGGGCAAGCTCAAGAAACGATAAATCTAATTAATTGATTAATTTATAACTCCTCCACCCTATTTTGCAATTTCTCTTAGGCGTATCTTGCCAAATATCGAGTTTAGAAACAATGCGACGGCTGCATAATACTTACACTATTGGAAATATTACTTAAAAACTGCATAAAGCTAAAATTCGAATTGGGTCAAACCGGTTAATTACTGGTTACTCAATGAACTATAAGTCAATAAATAAACGAGCATCAAAAGCACCAATTGCTCACATAACTCCTCAATTTTGGCACCTTTCTAGTCATACAATGGACTCATATGCTATAATCGAATCACCAAGGAAAAAGAAAATCAGATACTTGTTTCAAATGTTTATTAAACTTCATTATTTTAACACTTATCCTCAAACGAATATGATAAATTTATTTACAAATAACAGTAGCACAAGGACATAAACACGTCAATAGACAGTATTAAAACTCGCGCCTGTGATACTTGTTAGGGTCATAGAATGAAGTAACCACCAGCCTATTATCAAATTTGCGACCTGTGAGAGCCGTCGCCGCTTTTTGGCAATCGACTAGACTTGCAAACTGCACGAAAATTTTCCCAACACCTGGAACATCCACACCAGGAATGGGTCGTGGAATTTCAACACTGCTGACAATTCCATACTTGCTACACTCAGCACGAACATCCTCGACAATATCTTCATATTCTTCATCATTTGTTAGGTCTTCAGGATCAACCATATTAAGCAAGCATAAAACCTCTGTAGGCGGACCCCCAGAACGGAGAATAATATTTCCTGATCCGGTTGTGTTCTGAACTAAAGCATCATTCAAACCAGGAACCTGGATAAGTGGCAGGGGTAGAGTTCCTGAAGAATTCTTTGCACCAACACTAGCTCTTTGAACGATCAGCTTCTTGTCACCAAGTTGCATTCCATTTAGACCAGCACAAGCATGATCAGTGACATTTGGATCCACGTATTCACAAAAAGCATAGCCCTTGGAAAGACCAGTGGAACCATCTTTAACTAAGTTGAAACCTTTCAGTGGACCAAAACTTAAAAGCAGCTCCTTAACTTGATCTTCATTAAGATAATTTGGTAAACCACCAACAAAAATTTTGTGGGGTGAATCCTGAACGACAGTGCTGACTACTCCAGGAACAATTACTGAAGGAGTCTCGCTGACACCAGGTAATGGGGCATAATCACGGGGTCTACGGAGCTTAAGAGCCTGATCGTGGAATAAAATTCCATCCAAGGCTAAACCTTGTGTAGTCTCATCAACAGAACGAAACTCTAAGAAGGCGAAATTTTTCTCCATATTAATCTGAACGGCAATAATAGGATTTCCCTCTGCTTGAACAAGATTTTGGGCTTTCATTTGTTTGTTGAAAAAGTCCATCATATTATCTTCCGTAGCAGTGAAAGGAATATTACCCACGTACAAACGACGAGCCTGACGGCAAACAGCGCTACCAGCAAATGGGATATTGGTGTTGAGTGTAAGAGGAGCATTTGGAGTAGAAGCAGGCATCGGAACCTGCCCGGCAGCGTACACGTTTACAGGTATTTGCCCAGATGCTTGAAGAGCTTTATATTGCTGTGGTGTCATGTGCTCAAAGCCCGGAGGAGGCACATCCCAATACTTGTAAACAATTTTCTTCAAAGGCGATTCTGAATGTTCACGCGAACGGTGACGACGCCTATGACGATCACGAGAGCGACTGCTAGACCTACGACGATGACTTCTATTACCGCTTCGTGACCGATGTCTATCTCTCCTACGATCACGATCTTTACTACGACGGTCATCACTACCATCACGATGGCGACCATCTCGCTCACCTTCGTATCGGCTGTAATGTGACATTGACATAAGGGATGAATACAAATGAAAATTATAAAATAAAATACTACGTACCTCTGGACCTCATCAGCCGTAACATCGTGGTAATCATTTCCATTGTGAGAAGGAAGTTCACCGTTGCCCTCCTGGTAAGGAGCCTCTGCATCCGGAGAGTGGCTGTAATTGCTCATCGCCCAAAAAGAGTAAACCTAAAATCAACATTTCACAAAATGGGGCTAAAACAGAGAACAGAATATAAATTGAACCTCTGAGGGTGCGTGCCTAATAAAATCCTTCATAATGCAAGGATATTTAAGACGTAAATATGCGGGGAAAAACAAATAACTTACAAATCCAAATGAGAAAAATGAATAGTGACTTACCACAAGCAAAGTACAACTAGCGAAACCGAAAGCGATATTGGTAAGAAGGAACAACCTTCTCTATAAATCTAATTAAAGATTACGATATGGTAAAATGATTATATTTTTTGCAAGAATGCTAATTATGAAGATTTTATTATAGACAATATATTATTTGAATATATAATATATATTGATTAATTATGATAAGCATAGTTATAAAGTCTTATTCTCTTCACTGAACACATAAACATACAAGTTTGAAATTCTTCGAATAATTCATTTAAAAATACCCAGAATAGAATAGTTCTCGTTCTCGAAGAAAATTTTATGAAAACAGTTTATCAACATTACTCCATTTTTTAAGCATATGTTGAAAATACTTTATTTCAGAAATTTTCTGCTATAACTAGACCAGAAGATGTCACTTATTCAAATTCGGAACTTGTCTTAATTCTTATTTATTTCGATTTCTCATACATCCTAATTATATTAGGTATTTTTTGAATTTGATAGATTTCAAATGAACTTTGTTTAATAATGTAGTCAAGGCTTATTTTCGATGCTTAGCTAATCTAAAAACGTTAAAATGCTTTCAATTTTTCATGCTCTTTACGATTTATACCCAAGAAATATATTTCAGGTTTATAACAGCAGTTGAATTTATGACAATAGAAAATTCGAAATAAGTATATAAAACGGATAGGTTATATGCCTGTCTAACCGAGCTCTGTAATTATAAGTACATCTGGGGAAATTTTGGAATATAAAGTAATATTCTTTTCGAATAATATACTATGCGCTCACGTACTGCAGTCATATAAGGGAACATCCGTAATTGTTATAACGAAATGAAAGTATTTATTTCTCACTTCCTTAATAATGATATCTGTTTCATAGCCTCTCATGTTCAACTAATTATAAACTATCATTGCTTTACAGTTAAATAGTTCAAAATAATTTTCTTGCAGAATTTTTCGCTTTTGCTTCTGATAAATATTTCTAGGTTTTCTAAAAGATTGCTAGTATGCAATTTGTTTTCCATGAATTAATCCAAATAGCTAGCATGAACTTCGCGATAGTGAGTTTGCAGTCATCTTCAATCCGACTAATATTTAATTTCTTTCTCAGTTCATGCCGTTGCTTTAAAAATTCCAAATTTCTTTTGTTAGGCAGCCTTTAACAGCGAGCTTTGCTGGTTACAACTATTCCCTTTATTTCATTCCTATAATAAATTTTGGTGGGAGATTGAAAGTACAATCGGATAATTAACTATTGTCAAATATTTGAATGCCCTGAAAAGGAAAAAAGAGATTTTATTAGATATAAATATGAAATTTTAATATTCTTTATGTGATGGTAGAGCAAAGATCAATACGACTTTACTAAGTGAGCTAAGTGACCATCTTCCCAAATTTGGTTGTTATACTAAATGGGTTGACATTATTCAAAGCACTCATGATGAAAATTCAATGGAGCTATATCAAAACTCAATGTAAGCTTTGGAATGTGTTTTTTTCTAAGCGCTTTTTAAGTCATAACTACTCTAACAGTGACTTCATGTACTTGTAATCCATTAAAATTAAATATATTATTGAGATAAAACGTGAAGAGATACCACGCATTTTCTGCCTGTATAACTTACGAGAATAAAGCTGTCTTTCATATTGTTATAAAAATAAGTTACTATATTTCTCTAAAAAACTATCTTCAGTGAGACTATATCTTATGGTAGAAAAACACGTCGAGTCATTTTGAATCTGATGGGCAAATAATGCTTATCTGGGAATAAAATTCAAATGCACGATTTAACGTTTTTTAAACATATACTATAAATCTCACTGAAATACTTAAAATGCAAGTAGGAGAAATTTACAAATATTCAAATCCGCCATTAAGAAAAAATCTTGTCTTCAAACATAATGTAGTGAATATACAATCGGATTCAAAAACTATTCATCTTCAATCTCACTCAATGATTTTCGTTTAAATTTGTACTTGTAAACTTCACAACTGGTTGAGTTTTAGGATTACATAAAAAGGGAGATACTATGAAGTAACTCTGTTTTAGATGTATTAATTAATATCAGGTCTCATTGAAGTTTATTTTATCTATTCAGATTATTTTGATTTTTCGAATTCTCACTCTTACTAAATGTTCCATGTATATATATTCTTTGGTCTTGTTAATAAGGGATTTGATTTCAAATAATTTCTAAAATTCTGGCTCATGAAGAAAACAAGCTAAAAGAATTTTTTCTATTTTCACATCTAATGTGTATGTAAACACGAAATAAGTAAATAAAACATTTAATCTAAATGACATTACTAGTGTTTTAACTAAAAAATTAGAATGTATTATGCTATTATTTCAAATAACCTGTATTTGCAATTTGCTCTTATCGGATACACTCATATCTTAATTCGGCCCTCTCAAAGATATTTTTATTTTCAATTTTAAACTAAATTAACACAAATAATCTGGTCAGACACAATTATACTGTTTTTTGAAAACTGATGAGTAATTGGGTAACACAAAGAATGTAAGATTATTATTTAAACATATTCGCATTATACGCACATAAAATTATTTTTAATACTTTTAAACTAAAATGAATTGAAATATATCATGACCTTTAAGATATTCTAATTGAAAGAATTGCATTTGTTTTAGTTAGCATCCTCTAAAATTTGCATTTGGGATGTCCCAGCCTTGGTCGTATTATAATTCCTCGGGTTATTACCCATATCTTTATTATGTGAGTTGGCCATTTTTAAGCGAAGTTTTAGGGTTATCCAAGTAATTCTCAGGCGCCTGTAACTCAGCCAACAGCTGACGGGTCCCAGCCTCCTGCCACGTCTGATGATAATGCTCAGCCTTCTGTGGCGACTGTTCCAACATCAAGCGTCCCACCTCAGCCAGCAATAGATCCTTACGCGCTCTACGCTGCGCAGTACGCCGCAGCCGTTGCCTCCACAGGTGACCCAGCTTTGGATGCTGCTCAAAGATGGAATTCTATGAATTGTTCTTATTTCAATTCACTGAACGGGACTACTTCAACTACGACGAACAGCATAAATAAACCCAGTCCTTTAAAGTCAACAGCTCCTAAGGCGGAATCCTCTGCTAACACCTCGGGTGCGTCACAATTATTTGAAGCCGGTGGTGGAGAAACCAAATGGAGTCCTGAATTGAAGTACGTTTTTTTTTGTTTCAAATATTTAAACCACTCTAGGGATTATGTTCGAAGAGCATTTCTAAGTACCGAGTCTGCTGTTGAGAAGGACCAAATGGAGAGAATTCTTCGTCAAAAAATAGAGTACGTTTTTTGTAATAATAAGGCGGTTGATTGGACAAAAGAACAAATCCCAGTAATTCCAAAGATTTCTTCACTTATTGCGTCGGCATCTACCTCGAAATCCTCAGTCAAGTGAGTACTTATATATCTTCATGCGTTGTTTTTGCTGGTTGGAGGTTTACGCGTATGTCCGCTCTCTCTTTAGTTTGGTACGCCCTTCTTCTATTCAACCTTGGAAAACCCGTGGTAACGCCGGATCTCTGCAGACTGGCACCTTAGCTAGAAATCAGACGTCAACTTTGAATTCTGGCTCGGTAGATTCTTTTCAAAAGTCTAAATATTTGTCTCCCCTTCCCCAGAGTGCTGGTAGCAGCGCCTCTGATTCACCCTCAAAATTTCATGATGTTAGTAAAAGAAAGCGCTCAATTCGTCGACGGAGTAGATCTTCTAAGTCTTCATCTCGATCTTCATCATCAGAAATCTGTGTCTCTAAGAGAAAGTCTTTTCGTGGTAAAATTAGGAATAATAAGAAGCCAGCTAACGCCAACAACCTGTAAGTTGAATTTAGTTCATATATCCTTCCAGATAATAATATTCAGCATCTAATAATTAATCGCATTTATAGGAATGATAGCGAATCGGATCTTTCCCAGTCCCCAAATCAACCCAAGTCCAAACGAAGTAAGAATAAAAGGCATAACACCAAACGCAATGGACGAGGTGGTACCAAGCAAAAACTCTGGACACAGTCAGATACCCCACAGTCTCGTTTAAATGAACGGGCTGAACGTTTTAAGGATCATCTTGATGCTGGAGCTATTGCTAAATCTACTAGTCAACTTAATTTACTTTCTAGCCAAGTAAACACACATGTAGCGTTGGAAAGCATCACCTTTGCCGGAACCATGCAGGAGCTTGAAAAACCCTATCTCCGATTGACAAAAGTGTGCATTTTACCTTGCCCGATGCCTTGGTCTCTGTTTAATTTTATTTGACATCTCTCTTTGTTTTAGGCTTCCCTTCCTTCTGAAGTTCGGCCTGAAAGTGTGCTGCATCTCTCTCTTGCTCATGTTTTAAAGCGATATAGGGATGGAAAAGATTATCATTGGGTTTGTGATCAGCTTAAAAGCATTCGGCAGGATCTTATAGTAAGTTGCTTGATCAATGACTTGTCCATGCCTTGTCAGTGATGTCTCTAAACTTAGTTTTACTTTTCATTTAGGTTCAACGCATTCAATCGGAATTCGCCGCTAAGGTATACGAAACCCACGCAGATCTCGCTTTGGAAGTAGGAGATTCCTCTGAGTTCCACCAATGCCAATCCCAACTCGCTCTCCTTCATGCCGATGGCTATGGTGCGTCTCGCCGTTCGGAATTCACTGCCTACCGTCTACTCTACTACATTTCCACGGAGGATCAGCTAGGTAAGTATAACTGTTTACAATAATTATCCCTAGTTCCATTTATCTTTTAGGTGAAATAATGCCTGTTACGTTAAGACCAAATCAGTAAAGTTCGAAGTGGTGTAGGTCCTGGAGTGTAATAGGATTTAGATTCCATGCAAATGTTTTTGCTTAGTATTAAGCATGTGCTTTCAACGAAATATCTCTATCAATTTTCTACACTGTTCTTCAACCTTTTTTAATTTGACATTTCATTGACCTCATGTGATTAACGATTTGCTTACAATTCATTAGTGTAATCGTAGTTTGATTTTATCAAACTATTTAGAAGACATGATTATTAGCAATGTTTTCTTAAATGTGGAAGAAAAGAACATAACGAGGGATATAGGATTGTGAAATTTGTAGATTTTGTTTAATACTTTTCCAAAGGTGTCAATGCTCAGTAGTCTTCGTAGTTTTGGAAGATGTTTAAATTGATCACATCCAATTCAGTCAAATGGCAGTTCATTTCTTTCTAGCTTAATTCTTCCAATGTAGTTACGTTTTCTTTGAAACCTGACATTTAATGGAAATTCTGAATTTTTTTTATCGTTTTGTACTTTTTAGGTATGAACAAGCTCCTTTCCTCTCTAAAGAGTCTTGAGAAAGCAAATCCATTTGTGCGTTTCGCACTTAAAGTACGTGAATTTTGGTCCTTGGGTAACTACAAGCGCTTTTTCGATATGGCCTGCGATCCTGAATGCTCAATCCCTTATGAGACTGAGTCTTGTTCCATGCAAGCCTGCCGACTAATTTTAGCCTGGTCTCTTGAACGGGAACGAAAGTTGGCGGCTAAGAAGATCTTTATGACGTGCGTAGTCATAAATACACACGCCTTATACGGTTTGATTTTTTATGCATTTAATTTAGCTAAATTATATTATTGATTGGTAAGTTAGGTAATAAATATGCTAACTGTTTTCTTTTGAGACAGATTTTACATTTCGTGTTTTTATAATGACTTCTCTTTTATCCCCTGCCGCCTATTGGACTATTTTCTAACTTGTCCGTCTTTTCATTCCCTTTTTGGTGATTCCACTTTTTTCGGCTCTCCTCGTTGTCTCTGGTCATTTCCCTGTCTCGCCGTTTATTGGCAATCGATCGTTCATCTTCGTGATCTTCTGTTTTACATGTGCAGTTACCGTCCAACATTGAGTATGGAATTCATCGCAAGAACCCTGGGGTTTGCGGATTCGAATTCATGTTCTGAATACCTCACTGAGAAGTTAGGAATTTATGTGGAAAACTTGACCGAAATTGACAAAATAGACTGTAAAGTTGTATGGTCGCAGATCCAGTCACAACTAAACTAGTCAACGGCTGCGTCTGTTGATAAAGCGTGATCACTTTTCATCTGCCATCAAATTCATTCATCCAGACATGGGTTGCTTTGAGTCTGATTCTCTATCTCTTTCTCATTAGTATTTTCGTATCCAGGAATTCCTTCGTCGTTAGATGGTTTACTTAACTTAACCAAGTGAAGAACTCCATGCAGAGATAGTCGATGCAGCCACTCAAGGTATCGTGTATATATATACATCAGGACTTTCTTAGTCTCTTTCCCCTCTAACTCCTCCCCTTGCGTATGATAGTTTTATCCTTTTGAATCAATAAAAATGTGGCCTTGCATTTTTTTCTTGATTATGTTACATATTAACAACTACTCATGCTTATGTAATAGCGTAGGCTATTGTGTAAATCCGTTGATACATGTGCATATGGAGGGGGGGGGGNATGGGGGGGGGGGGGGGGGTGTTCAAAATCCCCAGTGGCAGCTGATTGGATAAGAAGTTAACCTTTTAAAATAGTGCAGGACAATAAACCGAGCTTACGTTTAAAGGGGAGTACTTATCAATGAGCATGCCCTTATTACATCTAGAAATTTTTAGGTTTGTTTTTATTATGAAGCTTTTATTCCATTTATTTGAAGTGGATGCTGGTTACTGAAGTAGCATGTTTACACTGCCTCCTTCAGAGAGTGCTGCAAGCCCACCTCTATAAAGTCTGCTTCGGTTGCTTTGATCCCAGAAGGAAATTAAGAAGAACTGTGTCAAATGAGACTAGGGATTTATTAACTCTTAGAATTATTATTTATTGGAGCTGACTTATTCGATAATTGATATCCAATTTGGCTGAATATCGTGAAAGATGTTTGACTTCATCCTTGTCTTGCTTGCGACTTGAAGGTAATTAAGAATGAGAACTCCTGGGTATCTTGTTTCTGCCATTTACTTTTGACTTCAAATCTTCACCGGTTCCATGAGCTTTATTGGGCTTTTATGCATTTCAATCTGGGAAGAGCAGCTAATTTGAAGGATTTTTTTAACAAGTCAAACCAACTATAACATTGGGGAATTCCGACAGTGTAAATTTGTAAGATCAAATCAGAGCAAACATAACAGCTTCCAAAATCCAAAGTGGCACTTTGCATTGACATTGATAGTGCACTTCCAGTGCATGAAAAGGAGTTGTTTCACCTCCAATTTTTGTTGTATTGTAGGTGAAAAATGTTTGCGAATTTGTTATCTATTACAAAAGGGAGTTGGGCATGTAATGCTGTGCATCAGTTGCCTAGAAGTAATTACTGTGTGTATTTTGACGTTTAAAAGCACTGACTAATTGCAGGAGCGGCATAAGTTGAGTATCCCTTTCGGGCAACTACGTAACGGTTCTTCATTACACAAGATTTGTATTATGTAGTCTCCCTATAAAGAAAGGAATTCAATGATTGGCTAACAGTTCCTCTGAATACATCGGCTAAAGCGTTGGCAAGATTAAAACCTAAAATTTTGGTCGAAATATGGGACATCA